TCCCCATTTTCACATTTCAAACCATCACTTTCAAACTGTTAATACAACCTGCCTTTTGGTGACCCCGCAGCGGCACGAGAGGAGGATTGACTACTGTCCCTAGACCTTTGGTAACCCCGCAGCATCATCGAGGGGCCCAGATAGCTCAACCACGCTAGGGCAACTCTCTAGTCCTCTCTAGGCTATATTAACACTCCGGCCCTTTGGTATCCCCGCGGCGACCGGGTTTTCATAAAACCATTTCGTAAAAACTCTTTTCCCAAAATTTCCCTTTTTGTTCCAAAACAATTTCTCCCATTTCATGCCCAATGTAAGTGCATGAGTACATCAGTACCACGAATATACTCATCATTCCACAACCAACTCAATTTAAGTAAGCAAGGCATAATTTCACAAGAATTTCTCAAGAAATTTCAACATGCTCTTATACAATAATACATGTAGCCTAACGAACATATATAAATCATCACATAGGCAAGTTTTCCACATAAAACATTTAATACAAGCTCTCACATAATCACATACACATGTTCTAACTACTTCTAAACTATAACTAGCACAAATAAACATGTCTTGCAACAATTTAGAAGATGTAATTCACATAGGAGCAAGAAAATTGTTGATTAAAAGCCCCTACCTCTAAATTGAACAAAATCCTTGAAAGGGGTCTTTAATTTCGAACTCCCTAGGAAGCACCAAATCTGAAATTGCTTACACTAGCACGTAGAGCTCATCGTGGGCTTCGTTTTGTCTCAAACGGCACTTAAATTCGGTAAGTATTGAGAGAGGAATCAACAATGGAAGCTTGAAAAAAAAAAGAAAAGAAAAAAAGAACAGAGAAGAAAACAGAGACGGGAGAGAGGGAGCAGATGGAAAACTAAGACCAAATGTGGTCTTACGAGCATTTAAAATGGGCGTGGGTCCCACCTTTTTTTTCCTTTTCCTTTTATTTTTTATTTTTTATTTTTTATTATTTTAAATTCTCACCACTATACATACCATAATTACATGTATATATATATATATATATATAAAGAAAACACAAGACATTACATGTGCATACCTAGATAGTCTCTAGGGTTTTAATTGATCGTTAACTGAATCTTGCTTGTTTATTATATGCTAATTTGATCATCTGTATGCATTGAATTAACTCTGTTACAGTCTTGCAAGTTTGGGTTTCAGTGTTTGTTTTCTTAAGTATGTTAAATCGGTAAGTGTTCTAAGGTTTTTAATAATGCAAACTGGTTTAAATAATGGTCTGGAATGATACTAGACACACTTAGGACTCTTAAGATCAGTTTTAGAAATAAACAAAATGGTAGGAAGAGGCCGGAGACAAAACAAACGGTCAGAAACGGAGCAGAATTGGACCGAAGGCTCTCAGAGAGGGAGAGAGTCAGCTCCATGGAAGTGGGAGCTGGCTCCCACCCCTTTAGAGCCGGCTCCAAGAGGCATGGAGCCAGCTTTATGCATTAGGGAGCCTGCTCCCAAGTCCAGAGAGCAGGCTCTCTCTTGTTGCGCGTTCTGGAATTTATTTTTTTTGTATTGTTTGAGCGTTTGGATTTTTCCGGTTGGTTTTGGGACTTCACAGAGGGTTTAAATATTTAACTTTAGATGTTATTAAGACCTCTAATTGAATAAGTTATCCATTATATTAATTGAATTAACAGTATGAAATAAAACCACTTTGCATGCTGATTAACGGTTGGAGGGAAATTAATCACTTAGTTTAATTTGGCGATTTAACGGATTATAGCATGAGTTTAAATCTTATTTTAAATGCACAGTAGGGTCATTTAATTATCAGATTTAACCTAAGCATGCTCTGGATTTTAAATTGCTGAAATATTAGTTTTTTTGCAATTACATGAATAAAGGATTGGATTTAATTGCTGAGATATTTTACACTATTCTGCAATTAACTGGATTATGGTTTTTAACTGGATTATGGTTTTGGATTTTAATTGTTGAAATATTATACACTATTCTGCAATTAACTGGATTATGGTTTCGAACTTTAATTGCTAAAATATTATACACTATTCTGCAATTACCTGGATTATAGTTTTAAACTGGATTATGATTTTGGACTTTAAATTGCTGAACTGTTATTTATGTTCTGTAATTTACATGGATGTTGTAGATCGTATGTACCGGTATGGGATGGTGGCATACTAGGGATGGTTTAGCTCAGAACGCTAAAACCTACCCTATGGGAATAAGGGAATGGATTGTAAAAATTGAATCTTACTTATATTTAGATCAGATCAACTAAGTAAGTTGAGTGACTACATGGATTAATTGTTGTTTGTAGTTAAGTCATATCAACTGAATAAGTTGAGTGACTAACTGGATTATAAATCGTATGTCAGATCAATGAATAATTGAATGACATACTCTGGTTTTGGACGGACTTTAAATATATGATTATGGTATCACGAGATGAGCTTGAGTCTCAGGCTCGTAGATTAGGGTGCGTATATGCAGTGGATGCGTAGTTGGCTATGATAAGTTGAGGTGTACCCTGTTAGGTCTAGGTATTCATGCCCACCTTTGGGTACGTTTTTGCATGTTGCCTTTTATTCAGGTTGAGGCCCCCTTTGTAGTTCGGTGAATGTCCCTTAGTGTGGATATATATACATATTTACGGACTCGATAGATATTGTGAGATATCTAGGATGTATCTGCATATCAGGTCACTGTATGGAGTGCAGTTGGATTAGAACTTGTTCGCAGGTCTGACCCACTCTTTTATTTTTCAGGTATCGGACGGTTCCAATCTAAGGGCTTGTTCGGGTTGGGCAGAGACGGTCATTCACTCTACCGACAATGTAGGACTTCATTCTATGTTTTAGATTTGGATTTTATTTCCAGTTGTTTATTTCAATTGGGATTTCGTTTAGGGGTCCACTACATGGTTTCCCGAGTTGTACTTTGGAGGTTTTGGAGAGAGTTGGATTATTTAATATTTAACTTTGGTATATTAATTGTTTGATATTCCCTTGGGTTTAGGCTTGGGCTTGATCAACCCGTGTCTCGGATTCGAGGGGTATCAACACACTCCTTGGCTGCCAAGCATTGATGATATAATGGGTGATGAAAAATACATATGCTGAGTTGGCAAAATTTTGAGCCATAAGTTTAACAAAAGGGGGATTTGGTTTTAGGGTTTCAATTGTGGAGTGGAGATATATATGGCTGATATCCCATTTTAAGCATTTAATATGACTTAAAAAACTAATATGAGGAACGAAAATTAAAGAGAGGCCCAAAATAGGCATCATGTTGAGTCATTTGTAACTATCTTTTAATTCTGTACCTAATGATTTCTTGAAACCCTAAACATACAAAACGATTTTTTAATCTATGAAGCATACAAATCGAGTTTACATACGGAACTCTAAATAGACCCAACTCATTCTTGAAACCCTAAGCACTAAATTGAAAACTCAAAATCCAGTAATTGTAAATCGGACAAATCTCCCTATAAAATGTGAGAGCTCTTACTAGTGATGGAGAAAGTGAGCATTGGTGGCTTTCCGGTGAGAAGTCGGTGGTTGTCAGGGGCTCTAACGGCTGGGATCGAACGTTGTTCTCTTCTATGGAAGAGAGAGAGAAAGGAGATGAGAATGAGAAATGTCTCAGCTAATTGGAGAGAGAGTAGATGAGAGAGTGAGAAAATGATGCAGTACGATTTTGGCGCGAAACTTAGGTGCCCCCCCCAACACATTAATCAAAGAAAAAATAAATACGAAAAACCTTGTGGTGTCAAATATTTTGGGACAATTTTGTAAAGATTTTTTTTATAAATTGTTTTAAGGCTTAAGTAAATTGTTTTGTTAGATATTATGAAATGTATTATAATTGTCCTTACAAATAAAATTAATTTTTAAATATTTAAGTAAATCGATTTAAATAATCAATCATTATAAATTTTAATTATACTTTATCTTACTTTTTACATATAGTTCTATTAATTTATAATTTTTAAAAAATTTAGATTTTATATATTATGGGTAAAATTGATAGGAAAAGTGAAATTTTTAAAAGAATAAACTTCTAAAAAAAATTAAAGGAATTTTTCTACAAAATTATTTACCGTATTAGTTAGTGTACATATAAACACATTAACTTCTCTAACGTTACATATAGTTTTGACTTAGAATCGTCTATGCACTTACACCAACATTATAAATAAAACACTATATTTCAATTTCAAATTTTCTAACTTATATTACAATATTCTTTTGCGTATCTTGAGATTCTTGACCGATTAAAGTCCTCTATCTTTCACAGAATATAGGGTTTTGAAGCATCACTTGTTTGCCTTAAATAATCCCAGATGAGATATAAAAGTACTAAAACGTATACTTTAACATAGATCATCAAAAAGTTGCTTTGAGTATGCTTCGAGTAGATTTACCTATCAATTAAAGAAAAATAAAAATAAAAAACTCTTGCTTGCATTTGTTTATTTGATAATTCTGTTATGTGGGATTTTGAATAGATCATGAAGTTATCATAACATAAAAAAAAAATTAAATAAATAAAAAAATATAATAAAATTGAAGTTCTAAATGTCATTATACACAAAATCAAACAGCTTGCTTGGCCTGTAACCCGGAACAAATAAAAACTGAAAACAGAAAATTGTACAAAACAACTCTCCTTGGTTTAGTTTTTTAAAAACTATTTCCTAAAGATTCGGTTATAAAAAGATGATCTACTTTCAAAGAATGGTCTTTTATCGTTCTTCTGTTCTCTGAATTCTTAACAACTTGTTTTTAGAGTTAAAAACCGGGCACAAACATACACTTGCAGGTATGGACTACAGAATGGACTGATCATGAGCTCACCACCATCAACAATTCAACAAGTTACTCATTGTTTTGCAACTACAACTATAACTCTTTTCAGTCAGATATGTTAATTGGAAACCCTACTAAAACCAAATGGATCTTGTCAGGCTCAAGAATTTACAATACAATATGCTTCAGTTGACAAGCCTCGGGTTTAGGCTGAACAATGATTGATTATATAGGGACTATATTCAATGGCAAAGAGTCGAGGACAGATTATGGTTGAGAATCCGAATTCAACAAAACCTACAAAATTGAATCAGTTGAAGAGACATTGAACACATGTAACTATTAGTTACTCAATACAGACAGTATACATACACCCCAAAAAATAAGAGCCAACTTGGTTCCATGACAGGAAATTTTATCAAGGAGAACAATTCTATAGATGCCGAGCGGGCAATAGATCTCTCCCGCGTGTGTGAGCTCCACAATGCATCCTCGGATAATTATCTCGGCTGTTCCAAAATTTTGTCGAATAAAACTTGACAGGTTATTGAACCCCTTGGAAACATTAGCACTTTCTCATGAAACTCTCTCTCTTGCTTTTCTTCTAAATCAAAAGTATAAATTTTCATCGTATGCAATACTTTGGCATTTCTCAAAAAGTACTCTGTCAGCTTCAGCTCATCACTCAGACCCTGAAAAAAATTAAATCCAATTTCTTGGAGATGCATCAAGAGACAACAAGGCACCACTTCTTGTTCAACAAAATTGAAATCCTCAGAAGCATTGTCTTCGCAGTTCTAGAGACAGAAATCAAAAGTTTAGAAACTGTGAATCAAAAACTAAATGCATACTTCAAAATTTTCTTATATGTTAATTTAGTCACCTTAAATTTGTCCAAAACAAGACGTACTAGGTTAGGCATGCTATTGAGCAAGTGTAGTAGACGTTTCCAGCCATAGCAATTGTGAACAACCAGCTCCAAACGAATCAGATTAGTGAATAAAAGCAGTTTATTGTCAACAGCATAGTCGAGAGCCTTAATAAGACATGAGCATAAGTTATGGAATTGCTATAAATATACTAGATCAAATTTTAAAAATAACAGCAATAACAAACTTAATTAAAAAGGAATTCGAAATTGAATTTATCAAGAAAAGAATTGCAAGCTTACCCCCATGGTACGAGCACCTAGAGATAGATATTTGACACTACAAAGTTTCCTGAGTAGCACAAGTACACGATCAGCATGTTGTTCGGTTGACTTGGTTTTTATACAGCAGTGTCCAACATCAACATCTGCTTTAACCAACGAGGTTAGGTTCTCTAGCACATAACAAGGCAAGTAATCTTCATGGAGGGTAAGACACTCAAGACCCGGTGAATTGATCACAATTTCATTCGAAATATATTTAGAAGTTGCGTCTACTTGATTACTTCCCAAATCTAACTTACAACGCTTCAGAGGCGCCCGCGTTGAGAGATCGAAACTTAGTTCATCATAACTGTGAACAAGTCCTTCAATTAAAAGATCTTCAAGAACAGGGCAATTCCAGAAAAGATTTTGCATCAATCCATTGTCCGGAAAATTAAATGAAACATGGAGGACCTTAAGACTTTTAAAATGGACCGAGCGAGGAACAGTACTTAAACTTACAAGAAATCCCAGTTTTAAGACTACCAATGTTGGGCAAGTGAAGAGGCTTAAAGGGCATCTAAAATCCCATTCGCCTTGGTTAATAACGATTTCAAGTTCTTGAACCCCACGATTTATGGCTACACTTATCCATGTATATACTCTTGATAAATCATTTTCTTCTATACAGTTCAACCGGAATTTCTGAATGCAAGACAATTCATGATTGAAAAGTACTCGATCAACAAAGTTCATATCTGAATAAGGTTCTCCAAACGGCAAGTTGACATCGAAGTCTAGAGTGGGAACACAAGCCCAGAGGTGCTTCCATCTTGACGACAGTATGCTGGTTCCGACTGCGTCTATTGTTGGTAGGAAAGAAAGAATGTGAACAAGTAGTGAGTCTGGCAAGCTGCTGATCCTATCCACCTTCTTGAGAATTTTTCTCATTTTCTTTGAAGATCCCTCATGGTTTGACATTGAAGCCATGTATCTGTAATGCAAAAATGGATAAGAAATAAGATTATTGGGAATTTTGTACCTCCTAACTCTACAGTGCTGTAAGGTCAAGTGTTTGAGATCACAAGAAAAAAATAAGTATGTGTCATTCGTGATCACACACACACACAAAAAATGATAACAAGTACATGAGATTATTGAGAATTTTGTACCAAGAAAATAATTAACAGTACAGAGAGCTTCCATCACTTGGGCTCTTTCTTCTACCCTAATTCATCTGAAGATAGAAGTTACATGTGACTGGCCTTTGTATGAAAATAGCCCCACACAGGACTTTTGACAAACATTACGTGTTCCATAGTTTTGAATGTGGAACCACTTGGTAAATTAGAAAACTGATACTACAATGGATCATATATAATCCAAATGACAAAACATATTCGGAATCTATAGAAAAATTAGAAGAATTACTTTATACAGAGTAAAAGCATACATACACTGAACTTGTGAATACATATGAATTTAATTTCTTGGTAGATGAATTGAAATATGATTAAATAGAGACAATAGGAAACACAATAACATTTATTTCTAACAAACAAAGATCCTAGTAGACACTGAAGAACATAACAAAGTAGATGATTTAGTCTTTCTTACCACCAATTCATTTCAATTTCACGTCACAAAGAAGGTGTCTCTCTCTCTCTCTCTCTCTCTCTCTGAGGCTGTTTTGAAGAGCAATGAAAATGGAGCTCTGAAACCCTAGTCCTCCACCTCCTCTCTCAAACGATCCAAGTGTGTTGAAGTGATGACCAAAACCCTAATCGCCCCTTTCTTTCTCTGGAAATGTGTTGTGCCGAAATGAAAAAACAGTCACTTTTTCTCTCTCATCTGTCCAAGGGGTGGAGAAACGAAAAGGCACACCCATCTTATTTTGTACGTCTCGAAAACTTTTGAGTTCCTTCCGGATTTTGTTTTTGAGTTCATTTTTAGACATATTTCTTTTATATATTTATATATTATTTATATTTTATATTAGATATCTATTTATATTACTTTGACTCACAATTTTTTTTTTTTTTTTTAAATTGACAATTAATATGTACCGAAAGTAATGTTATTTTGTTTTAAAAAAATAATTAAAAGACCATCTTTAATACCCTGAAAATATGAGTTTAATAGGTATAAATAGATAGATCAATATGTGATGTTACTCTATAATTTAAAATTTTGAATTTGAGGCCAAATATTTCCTCAATAAAAAAATATATCACACGTCATCATTTGTCTATCCTTTTATCTATACCCTTTTTTTATTTAACTAAATAATCTAAACTCTATTTTTATAAGAATTAATTTATATTTACTAATATACGGAATAAGTTATTTACTTTAGAGTAACACTTCTACATGGTCCTTATGATAAGAGGAATGAATTTTTTTTTTTTTTAACTTAGATGTATTAAATAATTGATCTCAAAAAATATAATGATTAAATGAGGAGAATACATAATTATTCTCATGAATGAGACGTCTTAAAAATATTACCCGATAGTTTATATATCATCACTAGCTATAAAGATTGGGGGAAAAATATTCATTTTCATTCAAAAATCAAATGAAAATATTGAAGGCTAGATCAGAAAAAGATTCCTCATTTGATACAGCACTCAACCCATTGAACAGTAGGAATTTCCATGCCTTTTAGTTGCACTATAAAAGTTTGTTCTTCCTCCTCCTTTATTTATTTATTTAAAAAATAAAAATAAATTCAAGCAACTAAGAGGACAAGCCCAAGCCAAAAAAGTAAATATTGTGCCATTGTCTAATGTCTCATAAGCAACAAGTTTGTAACAAACAAACAATGGGGGTCTCTTGAACTCCCTGGTGATGAATTGACACTAATCCTCTCTAAACCATTTTGTTGGTTGGTGTTCAATTTTAATGAACATTTGTTCTTTCAGTGTGAAGGGTTTTAAAACAGGTTTATGAAAACTAAAACTAAAAACTGTCTTCATCAGAAATAAGTTTAACAAAAACTAGTACATTTTCTTTCATTATAGAAAAAGTAAACAGATACAGCAAAAGATCATAGACCACAAGGTTTTTACATGGCAGAAGAGTTATCAAGAACTCTACAGATGCCGAGTGGGCAATAGCTCTCTCAATTATCTCTGCGCAAAATCCGGCCGGAGCAAAAATTTTCTTCCGTGAGAGTAAAATTTGAGAGGTTATTGAGCCCCTTGGAAACATTAGCAGTTTCTCGAGAAATTCTCTCTCTTGCTTTTCGTTTAAGTTAGAAGTATTAATTTCCATCTTACGCAATACTTCAGAACTTCTCAAGAAAAACTCTATCAGCTTCAGCTCATCACTCAGTCCCCAAAATCCATTAATTTCAATTTCTTGAAGATGCATCAACAGACAATAAGGCACTGGTTCTTGTTCACCAGAATTGAAATCCTCGGAAGCATTATCTTCATAATATCTACATTTCTGGAGACAGAAACAAAAAAAGTTCAGAAATTGTGATTCAAAAACATCATACATACTTTCAAAGTTGTTGCTTATAGGTTTAGTCACCTTCAATTTCTCCAAGACAAGATATACCAAGTTAGGCATTCTATTGAGCAAGTGTAGTAAACGTATCCAGCCATAGCAATCGTGAACATGCAGCTCCAAATGAATCAAATTAGGGAAGTTGAGCAATTTACCGTCATCAGCATAGTCGAGAGCCTTAATAAGACATGAACATAATAATCAAATGGAAGTGCCATGTATATCGGACTAAATTAAATTTAAAAAATAACAGTTCCAACAAACTTAAAAGGAAGAACAAATTCAACAGTCATAACTATTATCAAATTAAAGAGTGCAAGCTTACCCCCATGGTACGAGCACCTAGAGATAGATATTTGACACTATAAATTTCTCTGAGAATTACAAATATCCGATTAGCACGCTGTTTGACTTCCATAGCTTTTGGACAGCAGTTTCCAACATTAACATCTGCTTTAACCAACGAGGTTAGGTTCTTTAGCACATAGCGAGGCAAGTAATCATCTTGGAGAGTAAGATACTCGAGAATTGGTGCATTAACCATAATTTTGACCCCTTCAGCTTCATAAGCTGCCTGTGCTGTAAAATCTAACAACTCTTCAGGGATGGTGTGGAGACATCAAAAATTAGATGATCATCACTGTAATACTGTCCTTGGATGAACAGGTCCTCAAGAACAGGGCAATTACAGAAAAGGAATTGCGTTAAGTCATTGTCCGGAAAAATAATTGAAACATGGAGGACCTTGAGACTTTTAAAATGGACCAAGCAAGGACCACTGAAACATAAGTTACATAATAGATACCTAGTTTTAAGACTACCAATGTTGGGCAAGTAAAGAGGCTTAAAGGGAACTAAAATCAAGATAAGTGGCTACAGATGGGTGAATAACGATATCAAGTTCTTGAACACCACGTTCTATGGCTATGCTTATCCATGTAGATAAGTTGGATAAATCTTCAGTTTCTTCATAACAGTCCAAACGGAACTTCTGAATACATGAAAAATCATGATTGAGAAGTACTCGATCAACAAATTTTATGAAGTTGGAAGGACTCATATCAGAATAAGATTTAGGTTTAAATCTCAAGTTGTCAACGAAGTCTAGATTGGGAACAGAAGCCCAAAGGTGCTTCCATCTTGATGAGAGTATGCTGGTTCCAATTGCGTATTTTGTTGGAAGGAAAGAGAGAATGTGAACAAGAAGGGAATCTGGCAAGCTGCTGATTATATCTCCCTTGTTGAGAGCTTGTTGCACTTTCTTTGAAGATCCCTCATTGTTTGAGATTGAAGACATGGTCCTGCAATGCAAAAATAGATATAGTTTAAAATTTATATTACGCTAAGTATACGAAAAGGTTGTAGTCAGTGTATCTCCTCAACTTTTCAAAGTGAAAGTATGAGTCTCGGACAATTTGAGTGGGAGTTATTCGCGAGCACCAAAAAAAATAATAATAATAGCAAGTATATGAAATTATAAATTGAGAATTTAGTACTAGTCAAGTAGAGAAAACAATATGCAGAACTAAAACATTCTTTGGAAATGGGAAGTTTGATAAGAAGTAAAACACACACATGCACACAGACACACACAGAGAGTTCAAATAAGGAAAATGATTAGATGGAGATGGTTGGCCTTCCTGCTTAATTCCAACACTAGGGGGCTCTTTCTTTTGCTAATTCATCTTAATTTATGCAAGTGATTTTTGACGGTTGCGCCCGCTAATTTCAAATCAGTTACTAAATTTCCTTCCATCATAACTATAATATAGACTTTAGCATTTGAATCAATCAAAGGTATAGTTCCATGAGGACAAAATTAGGTAAAAGATTAAGCCACTTTGGAGATACAGATTAAACTAGCAGTAAACAATAATCACTTAGGTCAAATTAGGGTTTTCATTCCTGAAAAACAATAGAAATGGTTCTCGGATTGCAGGCTTATGTAAGGCTGGTATACAAAAGGGGATTAGGGTTAGGGTTAGGGTTAGGGTTTCAATGGTGGGGTGGGGATATGGGCCTATGGCTGATTATGCATTTATCCTCTTCCTCGTGATTTCTTGAAACCCTAAATATACCAAATTGATTTTACATATGGAACTCTAAAAAAAACCCAACTCATTCTTGAAACCCTAAGCACGAAATCAAAACCCCAAAATCCACTAATTGTAAATCAAATCCTGATATAAAATGTGAGAGCTCTTACCAATGATGGAGAGAGTTCCGGTGAGACGTCGGTGGCTCTTACGGCTGGAAGAGAGAGAGAGAGCGAGTGAGAGTGTAAAAGAGAGAGTGAAATGTCTCTGTTATGGAAGAGGGAGAGAGAGTAGAGGAGACTCAGGAGAAACTGTGTAGAGTCCGTTAGGTTCGTTGATTCATGGGCGGGCCAGTGGGAAACACATTGTTGGGCTTGTTTAACTGGGCCTCCTCTTTAGCATGTTTAATTTTGTTGAACGGAACGATGTTTTAGGCCCATTGAGGTATGCCACGTACATAAATGATTTTTGTAAGAATTTTAATCATACAGTATTATTTAAGTATGAAAAAGGTAATTATAAATATATATATACATATAGCAATCATATCTAATAATCACTGTACTTAGAGTGAATAAGGTGTTTTTTTTTTTTTTTTTACCAATGCGCAAAAGATTACTTCTGATTATTTATATATTATATAAGAGTCAAATGAAAAGCAAATGTTTAAATTTTTACTTTTTACCGTCAATTCTTAAAAAAGTAAACTAAAAATACAAATCATTTTTATTAATATAATTTTATTTTTTAACTTTAAAAAAATAATTCATTTTTTAATTAAAAAAAAAGAAAAGTGAGGATTTGTTATTTTTTTTTACTTTTTATACTGTAAACGGGGAAGTAATTTATTTCACTGTAGCCTCAACCTTAAGAAATTAGAATCATTATTTTACTTTCTTAGAAAGTAAAAATGAACAGGCCTAGGAAAAATTGATGTGTTTTATTTACCGAAAAATATTAAAAAATTTACCCAAAAAAACAAAGAATTGATGTGTTTATGCATTTATTAAGAAAAAAATCAGTGATGTGTCAAAATTTACAAGTTGTCCAGTCGGCCTTTCATATTGCTGCAGATCAGGACCGAATTATTAGGCCCAATTAATAGACATGTTTAATTAACATAAAAGGCCCAATAAATAGACATATTAAATTAACATGGAAGGCCCATTAATTTCCCAAACAACAAATATATGGGTTAATTTCACTTAGACCCCTGAGGTTGGCGTATATTTTACTTAGATGGAGATTTGATTTGTAGCGACCACTTGGACCCAATTAGTGGCTTAATATTTCACTTACACCCCAAATGTCAATTTTTGGTATTAAATGACTATGTTACCCTTTGACCTAATATTGACTATTTTTTATGACTAAACTGCCCCCAAAGCACATTTCCTTTTCTTCCTCCTCTCAGGCAATCTTCCCAAATAACCCTCAATATGATCAGCCCCCGCTTCAGCCCTTCTCTCTTATCATTGTCGTCAGATTCCGGCGATGGATTCTGATTTACAAGCGAAGTTCGGGTATCATTTTGACATGGTTTTTTCAATGAAAATCCGCATAACGACGGATTATTGAGAAACGCCGTCAGACCTTGATTCGCAAACGAACCGGTCTGAGGAATTTCGCCGCTCAAATTTTTGTTTCGGAGATCAAAACTCACTGTCATCGACAAATTTCCCAATTTCAACCCACCAGTCACCACCACCGTTAACAATCATCTCCAAATGAACCAGTCACCACCGCATCACTGAGTTCGAAATCCGCAACCTTCAAATCACCTTTGTCGTCGACGAGGAGGTTATCCGGCATCAGATCGCGGCGACAAGTTGGTTCGGCCGTGGATGACTAGCGGCGGCTCAGATGACAGCGACTGCGTGCTCTGGCGATGGCTATGGATGAACTGCGGCTGTGCACGGGTGAGTCTGACCGGTGAATGGGATGGACTCGGGCTCGCTGTCAGGCTCGCCGTCGAGCTCGCCGCCACCATCATCCGAAGCCACAAGCTCGCCATCATACGGACGGTCCCTGAGCCTGAGCTTGCTGCAACGTAAGAACTTCTCGATGGAGATAATCAATAGCATATCGCCGGAGGACCTCCAACCGACGGTCAAGATCTGTATCGACAGTCACCAATCGCCGTCGATCGTGGTAAAGAGGACCTCCAACACGTCGTAACTACTCTCCTCAAGAAGATGTCGATTGGAGCGTGTGGCGCAATTCCGGCGAGGGGGTGTTGAGCTTGTCTTTGCCATGGTTTGAGTCCGATTCCGGTTCGGATTCGTCTCCGGTGGGGTTTGTTGGGTCCAGCGGGTCTTGGTGGCAGCCATCCTTGCCGAGTTTGGGTTTGATTTGCAGGGCTGTGGATTGTTGATTTTTTTTTTTTTTTTTCCCTTCTTGTGGTTGCTGATTACATGGTCTGATTTTGTGAATAAAGGGCGTTGATTGTGGGGTTGTGATTGGGGTAAGATTTGGTTTGTTTGATTGATTACAGAGGTGGTGGTTTGTGGGTGTTTATGCACTTTTTAAGGTGGTGTGTTGGTGGTTGAAGGGGGTGGGTGAGAGAGATCGTAGATGAGCGAGATGAAAGAGGGGTGTTTATGTCATTTAAAATTAAAAATATTTTGTAGTATTAAAATTTTGAGGGTAAAAAAGTCAATTCACATGTGTTTGAGGCCAAAAATCAAATTGGGGTCTAAGTGGTCGCTAAAAATCAAATTTCCATCTAGGTGAAATATGCGCCAACCTCAGAGGGTCTAGGTGAAATTAACCCTAAATATATTGTAAGGCCCATAGATATAACATTTCTGTGTAAGCCTCGGAAACCCTAGCTCCTCTCCCTCTCCCTTCACTCTCATCAGACAATCTCCTATCTCTCTTTCTCTGTATCTGAGATGCCGTCACAGTAAGGTTGAAGCTTTAATGGGGCTGAAGATGGTTAAAGATGCTTGCTAGATTCTGTATAAGAAAATATCTTCTCCATTTCGAAAGGTATGTAGATCTACATACATTTGCGAATATGTGTGTGTGTATATATATATATATATTCACAGGTCTTTGTTATCATGTAGATAAGAAAAATGGAGTTGTATGTCTACAGGCATATATGCATCTTTGTAGTATTTGAATGTATATTGTTGACAAACCTGAACATGGCCGAGCCGTCTAGCTTCTCTAGACCAAGCTAAGATATTCCAGATTCTATTTTCCTAATGTATTATGAGTATATAATGTGATTGGTGGCAGAGAAAAATTGATGTACTGGATTAGAAATCTACTGATCAGATTTTTTTTTTTAGGTACATCTTAAACGATATCTTTGTGCAGAATAATGTGTTAGTGAAAAGAACTAATGGTTAAAATTTTAAAAAACATAAAAATTCAATTGGCATATAGAATTATTTTATGTGTGTTATGTTATCGGTTGAGATTGCACAAGAAAGAAAATGGGGATTATGTGAATATTTGGAATGCATTTTTAGAAGAACTATATCGACATTCTTTGGTGATTGCTAGAAGAAAGAAATTTACGCCGAATTTGGGTGGATTTGATTTATAAAAGATGGATAGAAGGATATAGCATTGGATCAATTCCAATTTCTAGTGATTGTGTTTGGTCATAGAGAAAGATATGGCAATTCTGGAATAAAGCAAGGCCTTTTATAAAACAGGACAAACTTTTATGTTATGAATCTTTTGATAATTGCCAATTGGCATATTTTAGGTGCTGAAAATAGTTAAATGATAGATGAAAGGACTCAGTTGTGCTAGTGATAACAATAGGTGGACTTGGACTCCAATGAATAGTTCTCATCTTATGGAAGAGCGACAAGCTTGAACACCCCTTTCACGTCGGTGAGTGGAGCCTGAACAACCCAAAGCTCGCCTTGGCTCTGGTCTTCTCGGCTCATTTGCAGCCCTACTCATACATGTGACATCTTTAGAAAATCATAAATAATTGGATGGCTGCTTCAGGACTCATTTGAAATGAACAGTTGCTATTTCGGGGAGAGGAAAAGTTTGAAGCAAGAAGACCAATCATCCAAAATCACATGCGTAAATTAAGATGAGTTAGCAGAAGAGAGGGCCCAATTACCAAGTTTTGGAAGCAGGAATACCCAACCATTTTATTTTTTAAAATACAGAACCATGGCTTCAATCTCAAACAATCAGGAATCTATAAACAAAGTGCAAAAAATTCTCAACAAGAATGATCGGATCAGCAGTTTGTCAGACCCACTTCTTATTCACATCCTTTCTTTCCTTCCAACAAAATATGCCGTCGGAACGAGCATACTGTCATTGAGATGGAAGTGCCTCTGGGCTTCTGTTCCTACTCTAGACTTCGACAGTAAATTGTGGTTTGAACTTAATTCCGATGTGAGACTTTCTTCCAACTTCTTGAACTTTGTTGAACGAGTATTGTTTAATCATGATTTGTCCTGCATTCAAAAGTTCCGTTTATACTGTATTGAACGTAAAGAACACAAATTATCTAGAATATGTACATGGATAGGTGTAGCAATACAGCGTGGTGTTCAAGAACTTGATATACGGATTGGAGTAACTGAAGAACAAAATTACTTACCTTCAAGCCTCTTCACTTGCCCAACATTGGTAGTCTTAAAACTAGGACTTCTAGTATGTTTCAGTGTTCCTCGGTCAGTACATTTTAAAACTCTCAAAGTACTCCATATTTCACTTGGTCTTTCGAGCAATGAGTTGACGCGAAATCTCTTTCGTAACTGCCCTGTTCTTGAAGATCTTATCATCAAAGGAGATATTCCGTGTAATGAAAGACTATTTTTTGATGTCTCCACGCCCGCTCTGAAGAGTTTTAAGTTCGATATTGATACAGATGATGGTGAAGATGTGTGATACCCCTCGAGGATCCGAGACACGGGTTGATCAGGCCTAGGCCCAAAACCCGAGGGATATCAAACAATTAATATGTAATTGAACACAGAATACAAGGTAAAATAAGAATTAAAAATAATAAGCTGAATGAATGCTAATTGAAAATCCTTAAAATAATATAATTATTGAAAACTGTTAAATCCCAAACTCTATAGGTTTACAACTCGGGAATCCATCCATTAGACCCCTTATTAAAAATTCTCCAAAAGATAGTGAAATAATAATAATAAAATCCAAAGCTTAACATAGAGAAGATTTCTACATAATCGGAGGAATGAATAGCTGTATCTGCTCTTCACGTCCAAACTCTAACCCTAGAACTGACGAGCACCTGAAAAATAAAGAAGTGGGTCAGGCCCACATGCAAGTCTTGATCTACTACAATCCAAACAGTAATCCGATACGCAGATACATCCTAGGAAGACTCAACAATATCTAGAGTAGTCCATATATGTCTATAGTACACACTATAGGATGCTCGCTAGTCCAGTAGGTTTGTCTCAGCCTGAATAGAAGGCAACATGCAAATACGCACCCTAAGGTGGGCATGAGTACCTAGACCTACCAGGGAACAACACCTATGTCCAGTTATTCATCCTAGGCGATATACGCCCCCTAACCATGGTCATGAGACTCAAGCTCATACCACGGCACCATATAATATATATATATATAAAGTCCGTACTCCTCCTAATACATAATACCATCCATCTGTGTAGTGGTCTGATATATGTATAACAAATCCATCCTGAAACCATAGTGGATCATTCAATTCACAATTGATATGACCTATGTTGGTGATGGACTTAATCTTTTATGATTAATCCATACCTTAATCCAAATTTAAGTAGGCTTAGTGTCTGAACTAATCCGTACCTAGTATGACACCGTCCCATACCGACGCATACTATCCTCCAGTTTTCGTAGTTAATAACACAGTATAATTACTTATTAACCACATCCCAGAATAAACATAAATATAGTTTAGCATGTACACAACCAATATATGCATCCAATATAACATTTAGATATCCCATTACAGTTCTTGTTATAAATGAAAAGACTGTACATTTAGCTCCTCCAGATAACACAGTTGATGAGAACAGTATCAGATATTAATCAATTATACACTAAAATTTGCATAAATATAGTTTAACATGTGTATAACTAAATTGTGCCTCCAATAACAATTTTAGAATCCCAGTTCCAATCCTTTAAATTGACAAATCAAGATTATACAATTTATTTCTCCATATAATACCATAACTGATGCTGGTATGTTAATTTGTAAACATCAGTTAATTCCAGCTAAGAACACATATATTTTAACAGTCATATGCTCTTAACATAGCTAACAATATGATTCATAATTTAAGATCATGCAATAAAACTAATTGCTAAAACAGTAAGCAGCGTAATGTAAATATTTAACCATTCACCTACGAGCCCTCTATTTGACCTTAAATTAATTCCTATCCTCAATAACTGAATGTGAACTTGCTTCTTAACATTATTATAAGTCTCATACACATATTTACAACATTCAGTAGCTTCAAATCAGTTCCAAAAAATTCAATTTCAGCCAAACGAACCCCAAAACATAGTTTCTGAACCTTTTCAGAGAGAGCAGGCTCTAGAAATTAAAAGAGCCTGCTCTTTCTTTTCTTCAGAGCCAGCTCTAGGCTCATTAGAGCCGGCTCCACAACATCCTAGAGCCGGCTCTACCTTCTAGGAGCCGGCTCTAAGGGTTTCTCAGAGCCTGCTCCCCTTTCCCCATAGCAGCTTCGTCCGTTTCATCGTCTTCTCTGATTCCTGTGAGTACCTGTCCTCTGTGGTATTTTATTACATGTTTTTAAGGTCTATTCCAACTCCAGATTGATTATAAAACAAGGATATACAATGATATTTAATCAAAACTTGAATTGGAAAACAAACTGTTACTCAATAGAGCAAGGTTACAAAGTTTCAGTTTTTATTTCTATCTTGTTAAAACAACCAAGAACAGGTTTATTCCATGAATTGGAACATTAATTAAACATGCATAAAGGTTATAATTAAGCCTTATTTTAATTCCTGGAGTTTTCCTAAACACGCACAAAACACAGATTAAAGAGATAGAGAAGAACAAGACTTGCCTTACGTTTCAAAGTTGAAACACTGAACCCACGTCTCTGAGTTTTAGTTTCCCTTCCTCTGCCTTCCTAAGCCCTCTCTGTAAATTACTCACTCGCTGTTTCTCTGCCCTCACAACCCTCTGTATCACTGTATACGTGACTATGGTGAATAGGATTTACAAAAACCCCTTAGCAGACGTAAACATATGTATTTATAGGCTTAAGTTGAAACCCTAACCTTAATCCTAAACCACCTACAGGTCGGCTCAGAATAAAACACGATGAAATTAACAAAAACCCTAATAATTAAAAACAGTTAAGTTGCCTCTAAAATAATGAAACCAATTACAAATAAATCAACAAAATTAAATAAAACAATTTAAGCAATTAAACAGGTAACAAAAATCAGTCACAAAGATATAACACTTAATGTAAGCTAAATAAATTTAAGAATTCAACAATTTAATAAATTAAAGAAAACATGTAAACCAAAGAATTAATTTAAATAATACAAATAAGTCAAGTACGTCAAATAATTCAAAAACAAGTCAATTAAAACACAAATTGAAAAAAAAAATTAAATACCAGGACTATCTTTTTTAAATTAGGGGTATTACATTCTTCCCCCCTAACAAAAGGAATTCCGTCCTCGAAATTCGCTTTTACCTTCTTCCAATATTGTAGGAAACTGCGAGCGAATGACATCCTCCCGTTCCCAAGTGGACTCAGCCTCATTGTGATGACTCCACTGAACACGTACCAAAGGAATAACCTTATTGCGAAGGATTTGATCCCGACGGTCAACAATACGACATGGTGGCTCCAAATAAGTTGCATCCGGCTGCAACTCAATCTCCCTAACATCGATATGCTGATACCGATCCTCATCACGCAGAAATTTTCGCAACATGGAAACATGAAACACGTTGTGAACGCGATCGAAGTTATCCGGAAGTGCCAACCGATAAGCCACAGCTCCCACTCGATCCGTAATCATGAATGGACCGACAAACCGCGGAGACAACTTCCCTTTCTTCCCAAAGCGCATAACACCTTTCATAGGTGACACTTTGAGTAGAACTTGATCTCCAACTCGAAACTCCAAAGCACGAGTACGTCGATCAGCATAACTCTTCTGTCTACTCGGAGCAGTACGCATGCGATCCTTAATAAGAGCAATCTTTTCAGAGGTATCCTTGATGAACTCAGGACCTAAAAATCGATTCTCTCCAACCTCCATCCAACAAACAGGTGATTGACACGGTCGACCGTATAACGCATCAAAAGGTGCCATCCCAATAGTCTTCTGGAAACTATTGTTATAAGCAAACTCCACAAGTGGCAAATATTCCTCCCAGTGGCCCTTGAAATCCAGTACACACGACCGAAGCATATCTTCCATAATCTGATTCACCCTCTCAGTCTGTCCGTCAGTCTGAGGATGATAAGCAGTACTAAGGTGTAACTTCGTACCTAAAGCCTGCTGAAAACTCTTCCAAAATCTAGATACAAAGCTTGAATCCCTGTCCGATATAATAGACAATGGAATGCCATGTAGCTTCACAATCTCTGAAATGTAAAGCCTCGCCAACTGCTCTGAAGTGTAGTCAGTGCAAATAGGCAAGAAATGAGCTGACTTGGTCAACCTATCCACAATGACCCATATGGAATTATGCCCCTTGAAAGAATTTGGCAATCCTTCCACAAAATCCATAGAAATGCTCTCCCATTTCCACTCCGGAATTGGTAGTGGCTGTAGAGCTCCTGGCGGCCTCTAATGATCAATCTTAACCATCTGACAAGTACTACACTGAGAAACAAAAAGAGCAATGTCCCTCTTCATACCTGCCCCCCAAAACTGCCGCTTCATATCTTGATACATCTTATCGCCTCCTGGATGAACAGAGAACTCAGAGTGGTGAGTCTCAGTCATCACATCCTTCCTCAAACCATCAGCAGAAGGTACCACTAACCGTCCCTTGTACCTTAAACCTCCATCAGCCCCAACATAGTAGAATGGAACCTCTCCGGAAGCTATCTCTGCGACCTTGTCAATGCACTGTTGATCCGTGAGTTGTGCTTGTAAAACCTTGCGAATGATGGAAGGTGTAACCACCATGCAAGCCATAAAAGCGTCTAACAACTCATCTATATTCTTCAAAGCATTCCACTCAGTAGTGAATAGAGCAGAAAGACTACCAACAGGTCGGCGACTGAGTGCATCCGCCACCACATTCGCTTTCCCTGGATGGTACTGTATAGAAAAATGATAGTCTTTTACAAACTCCAACCATCTGCGCTGTCTCATATTCAGCTCCCGCTGAGTGAACAAGTACTGCAGACTCTTGTGATCACTAAATAATCTGAAGGACTCACCCAACAGATAATGCCTCCAAATACGCAAGGCAAAGACCACTGCTGCTAATTCCAAATCATGTGTTGGATAATTAAGCTCATGAGGCTTAAGTTTCCGAGATCCATAAGAAATCGGTCGCTCCTCCTGCATCAATACACATCCAAGACCCTGCAACGAAGCATCCGTGTAAACAAGATACTCTATCCCGCTCTGCGGAGTAGCCAGAACTGGTGCAGAAGTCAGTTTCCTTTTCAGCTCATCAAAAGCTCGCTGACAGTGTTCATCCCACACGAACTGTACACCCTTCTTGGTCAGATGAGTGAGTGGTCCTGCTATCTTGGTGAACCCCTGGATGAATCTCCTGAAATATCCTGCCAGACCGAGAAAACTCCGAATCTCGGTAGGTGATGTAGGCTATCCCCACTCAACCACCGCTGAAACCTTGGCCGGATCCACTGCTATCCCATTTTCTGACACCACGTGACCCAGAA